AAAAAAAAAAAAAAAAAAAAAAAATTTAAATACCGTGGCCCAAGCCTGAAAAAAGAAAAATGTCCTGGACTCCTTCCTCTCCCTCATGTCTAATCTCAGTGATAAAGGTCAATCTCTTGGGAACAGTCCTGAAATACAGAATGTGAAATCCTCAGGAACTAGTGGGAGAAAGCATTCAGGAGTTAGTGGGACACATTTGAATGAAAGTCAGTGAAGAGACATGCAGAAAATAAAAACAAGAAGCACATATTTTCAAAATGTGCAGCTTTTGCTTATACATATTGATGCCAATGATTTTGTCTGTAGCTTTTATTTTTTCCCCTGTTGAAGACTGAACCCAGAGCCCTCACACTGAGCTACATCCCCAGCCTTTTTGAAAAAGTTTTCTTATTTTGAGGCTGAGTCTCATTAAGTCAGTCCCAAGTTGCCTGGGCTGGGTTTGAACTTGTGATACTCCAGCCTCAGCCTCCCAGAGTATTTGGAACACAAGTGTGTGCTACCATGCCCAGCTATCTGCAGGCCTTTTGAAAAATATTTTGAGACAGGGTCTTGCTGAGTTGCCGAGGTTGGCCTTGAACTTCTGATCCTTCTGTATCACCCTCTCGTAGCTGGGATTACAGTCATATGCCAGCATTCCAGGCTTCCACCTGTAGTTTTTATTAATATAGAGTTGTATAATTAAAATTCAGAAAGATCTGTCACATTCTCAAACTCTTAAAATAGTGCACTCAGTTTCCTCTCATATGTTCCCTATTTTACCATAGATGAGGACAAGTGGATGGGTCCAGCGGTCATAGCATTGTTTCTGCACTGTCCCTGTAATTGATATTGGAGTAAGAATGAAAAGTGACAACCTCAGTAACCAGACATCTTAAATTCACAATTACAGAGCCAGGCATGGTGCTGCACACCTCTAATTCATTTATGGTTTTTTTTGGTACTGGGAATCAAACTCAGGACCTTGTGCTTGCAAGGCAGGCATGATGCCACTGAGCTGAATCCCTGGCTCTAATTCATTTATTTCAAACCTAAATTTTAGTCTAAACCTACACACTCAATGTTTGACACTAAGGTACTTTGTATGGTGTCTAGTGACTGTTAAGATGTTGCAATCATCTCCTCCTCTTCAAAGTAACACAGAACTTCCTGGAATTCTTATGGATCACAACTTTGTGAGTCAGGAATCAGAGCCCATATGGGTCGGCTGCCTCACCGTGTCTGGTGTGCTTCAGGGCAGAGCGGTGTCAGGGCTGACTCAACATCAAAGCTTAGTCTTCCTGTCTGTGAACATGCAATATATCTCCACTTATTTAATTCCTTAATTTTGATCATCAGAGTTTTGTTGTTTTCCTGATAAAGATCTTGCACATATTTTGTTAGATTTATATTTAAGGTTTTCATTTTTGGGGAGCCTAAGGTAAATGCTCTTGCAGTTTTCATTTCAAAAGAATCTAGGTGGTTTGAAATAAACAGTACATTAATAGTATTTGTAGTCACCCTTTCATGCAATAGAACCAGAAGGTATCTCTACTATACAATGTAGCTTGGTGCCCATTTTCTTTTTTTTTCCATACCTGAGATTGGTGCCCATTTTCTAACCTTCCCGACCCTGCATCTCCCCTAACTCTTCCTGGCCTCTGATAATGAGGATTTTGCTCTCCACCTCTGCTGAAATCAGTGCTTTGGATTCCATATGGGAGTGGATCACGTGCTCTTTGTGTTTTCGTGCCTGGCTTATTTCATTTAATATGACATCCTCTAGTTTATCTATATTGAGACAGATGACAGTATTTCTTTGTAATAGCTGAGTGGAATCTGTTGTGTATATGTACACTGTATTTTCTTCATCCATGCATCATTTCTGCATAGGTTGATATCTTTTCTTTGATACTGTGAATACTGCTTCAGTGGGAGTGCAACCAGCAACTCAAATTAAACTTTAAAAATTAGAATTTCTTCCTTTTAGAGATACTCAGTTTCTCCAAACTTCCTCCTTTTGAGCACATAACCAACACCCCCTCCTCTCCTCAGCCCGGATGAGTGCTGGACAGGATGTGCAGATGCTGGCCCTATGACACAGGAGCCCAGTTTCCTTTCTAAGAGAAAGAGGACAAAGAGCCAAAGGTGGCTGGAAGTGATAAAGCAAATGTGGAGATCTGCATTCTCTCTCCGTGCTTCCCTAGCTTTTATTCCTTACTATGAAAGACCCTTGCCCACCTACACAAGGAAAAATGGTGTTGAGGCAAATGGGCCTTTCCATCTCCTCGGAGCAAGCTTTGCATAAATCCTTGTTCCTTTTAAACAAAATATATAGCTTCCTTAAATATGGTCAAGGATGAGCAAATGAACCTGAGCATAGGAATCTGGGTGGCCTGTGGCAGGAGGGCAGGCATCTCTGCTACCTGCTGGTTTTACTTCCTTTGGACACTTTTATCTGGTAATAGGATGGTTGGGTGGTACAGTCATTTTAACTGTATGAGGAACCTCCATGCTGTTTTCCATACCGGTTGTTGTAATGTTTTCTTCCCACCAACAGTGTTTATGGGCTTCTTCTTTATCCACATCCTCATCAGCACTTCTTATCCTTTTGGCTATTGATAATAGCCATTTACTGGACTGAGGTGTATTCATTGTGATTTTAATTTGCATTTCCTGGTAGTGATTTTTTTAAAAAAAATTTTATACCGGGGATCGAACTCAGGATCTTATGCTTGTGAGGCAGGCTGCGGCACCACTGAGCTAAATCCCCAGTCCTTCCTGGAATTGATTTTAAATATTTTTCTACAGCTCTGTTCACCATTTGTATGTCTTCTTTGAAGAAAAATGAATGTTTAGGTCTGTTGACCCATTTTAAAATCAAATGGTTATTATTTTTATTATTATTTTCCTGTGAAGTTGAGGGTTTTTTTGGTTTTTTTTTTTTTTGGTATGAGGATCAAACTCGGGACCTTGCGCCTGAGAGGCAGGTGGCAGAACCACTGAGCTAAATCCCCGGCCCTGTTTGAGATCTTTACGTATTTTACTATATGATCCCAGTATGTAACTAGCAACTATCATGAAAGTAGCTGGAAGGAAAAGGTCCTTTTTATCCTCTGCTCAGCAAGTTAGTAGCAGGTTCTGTCCTTGCTTTGCCTTCTCAATATGTCTGTTGTAGGATTACTTGGCTGTGGTGCCGTTTTACTCCTCCATATCCTGGCGGAGGTCATCGTGTCTCCTCTGGTTCCTTCTCCGCTGATTCTCCCATAAGCCTTTCCGGTTTCCATTCTAGGAGCTACTGTTGAAATGCAGACCTGCTCAGTTAACCTGTCCGTTCTTCTAGGACCTTATTATTCACACCCTGCCATTTGGGGAGTGGCAGTGCTCCCCTGGAGTAAACTCAGACTCTTTTGGCACATAGGAAGGAGAGTGCGGTGCCATGTGCGTGGTTTTAACTCATTTATTAAAAATCAGCGGATGCCTAACCTTTGTTTTCTGTTGGAATATATTCAAGTAGAAATGCAGGACCACACACTGCATGAGTTCCTCCGTGTTGTGTTTATCTGTCATCACAGACCAGGTTCACTGCCCTAGACACGATACTGTGGTTATTCCATTAACGTGGCTGTGCTGACTCTGTGCTCGTGACCAGACTGATGCTGTTACCCTGTGGTCAGGAGAATCCCTGGTTCACAGAGGAAAGAGCTTAACATTTTGGTTTTTCAGTGAAGAGCAAGCTTGAAATACACAACAACTATAGTTTCTCCTTCATTGTTTCATTTGCATTGACATTGTGTCTAAATTAGTGTGCACGTATTCATACTTATTTCTTCTTCATATCAAATTATATGGTCCTTCATGGAGCAGAATTTTACTCACATTTTAATCCCTTGAAATTAGGGTGGTTTTAGATTTGGAAGGTATAAATTCAGTAATGCTATTTTCAGTATAGTTAGCAAGTATAATGCAAGCTAGTTTGTCACCTTTCCCCCACCATACAAAGCAAGCTTTGTATTACCAGAGCTCCTCCTACCCCATCAAAAATCAGAACTTTGAGATTCCTGTTGTTGTGACAATGAATGAGGGCTGAGTGAGAGACAAATGTTCTCTTATAGGTGTCGGTGTCATTTGAGGATGTTTTTGTGAGCTTCACTTGGGAGGAGTGGCAGGTTCTGGACAATGCTCAGAGGACCCTGTACAGGGAGGTGATGCTGGAGACCTACAGCAGCCTGGCGGTGTTGGGTGAGTGAAATCCCCGTCACTGTCTGATATGAGCTCCTTCTTAACAAACATGTGAGCACTAGTAAGGGTTCATGCTTCAGGTGTATTTCTTAGTTACTTTCTCATCTCTGAGGCATAGTACCCAAAACCTATAATTTAAAGGAGGATAGATTTTTTTTTTTAGTTTAACAGTTTGTAGAGCCTTGATTCCATAGTCAGCTGGCTCCAAGGCAGAATGGCATGGCAGAGGAGAAAGCTCAAGGCATGGCAGTGGGACGCAGCATGTCTTTAAGGGAGGAGGAAGGAGTGATGTCTGTCTCCAGGCCAGGCCCACAGAGACCCACCTGTCACACCAGTGCTCACCCCAAGTATCACACCCACCTATAAACCTAATTGGTGGACTAATCCAGTATCATACCCATGATCCAGTCCTGGACTAATCCAGTATCACACAGTCATGATCCAGTCACCACCCCAGAGCCCCACTTATGAGCCCACAAGGCTTTGGGGGGACACCTAGATATAAGACGTAAACTTCTAGTTGATGAAGAACATGATTGTTCCTCCTCTCTACTGAAGGGTTCACCTTCACGCCTTTATTGAACAATGTTTGAAGCTGGGCCATTTGCATTCTGCATAGAAACTTAACACAGCAGTTATTAAATGCATTTTTCCCATTAACAGGGCATTGCATTACTAAACCTGAGGTGATCTTTAAGCTGGAGCAAGGAGCAGAGCCATGGATGAGAGAAGAACCCCCAAATCTGAGTCCTCCAGGTCAGTCAATGCATACTGGGCAGGGCAACCAGGAAGCAGGGAGCTGAGCACATGCTGGCTGTGGTCAGGTGTTGGTCACTAATGTCCCCCCTAGTCCCAGGCTCAGGATGCCTGGTCTACATCCATCAGACATGCAGGGCTCTCATATAGTATGCCCACTGTTAATTTTACTGAATATTTCTTAGATATACCCAAAGCCTAATCCATACTGACCTCCTTTTAGAGCTTTGTCTTTGCTTTCTCAGTTGTGTCTTATTCTCCATTATCATAGACTTCTTTTATTGATATTAGACATTTAATGATACATACATTTATACTTTAACACATTCAATCACGCCACCCTCTGAGATTGAACCCAGGGGTGCCCTAACCCATATGCATCCCTAGCCTTTTTATTTTGTACAGTATTTTCAAATAGAGTCTCACTAAGTTACTTAGGGTGGCCTTAAATTTGTGATCCTCTTGCCTCACTCAGCCTCCTGAGTAGCTGCAAGTGGCCCTTATAAGAAGTTTTTCTTTTGTTTTGTTTTTGCGGTTCTGGAGATTGTGGGGCCTCACACATGTGGGCGAGCACTCTCCCAACTCACCGACACCCCTAGCCCTAGAACAGATTGTACGTACTGGAAACTGTGTCATTGTATTTGTGCACCGTGCTGTCAGAAGTTGTGAAACAGCAAGAGGATCCAGCATAGGAGCATGAAGAGGGTGGCCTTAGACTTTCCAATGCACTGACAGGTTCTTAGTCCCAAAGGCAAATGATTTAAAGGTTCTGTGTGAAGGAGTTCCGATTTCTGGTTGGGACTGGAGTTTGAATTGACCACGAGAAGGAGAAATGTACAGAGGACTCTGTTTTATGAAAGCAGGAGACCGTATCCTTCAGAGGCTGTGAATGAGCAAGCACGGGCCCATGTAACAGGAATTGAGGGGGAGCATCTGGGCTGTTGATCTCAGAAGGTTCCCGACAAACACTTTTCAGATGTTGGGCTCTAAAGTGGTGGGGCGTGGGGAGGGACAAGCTTTCTGTACTTGTTTTGGTTCTGAGAAAGAAGCAGTAGGTTAAATTAGGAATTTTGAAGATGCTGTCTTTGCTTACATTGGAAAAAAGAGAATTTATATTTTAAAAACTTCCATGTGGCCTGGGATTTAGCTCAGTGGTGCCCTTGCCTGCTTGGCAAGGGCAAGGACCCAAAGTCAATCCTCAGCACCAAAGCCAAAAAAACTCCCAGATGTCTGTAGTCATTCCCCAGGGAAGAATGAAAATGGAACAAGTAAATGCAAAGCCTGTCCATTTGTCATGTGCCTGCTTAGGTGACAGGAAATTGGACCTGTCTGGTATCTTACAACAGGGTGATCTAGATGTTCTTGCCACCTTCGAAATGGAGTAATGAGAAGGATAGCAACAGTAGTGGCTGAATACTTTAACAAAATATTTCTTCATGAAGTAAAAAGAAGCAAAAACTTTTTCAAGGTTCTAAAATCTGTCAGTGTAACTTATTAAATAAAGGTCCATAGGAAGAAAAACTACGTGTGTGTGTATGCATATATATGTATGTATATATATATATGTGTGAGAATATCTATATAAGGATCTCTCTTTATAAAAATGTCTTGATGTGGTTAACATCTAGTTTTGTTTTGTTTTTTCTTCCTCATTTTAGATGTCCAGAAAGTGGATCACATACTTCAGCCCAGCCACGAGAGTCAAGGAAGACGTTTGTGGCAAGTTGTTCTTACCACTAACAACACAACAGCTGAGGAGAGAGTTGAATTAGGATTGGAGCTCAAAGTCCTTGAGTGGAATTTTGATTTGAGGTCAAGCCGAAGTTCAGATTTGGTTATAAATAATGGAAGCTATTCAGCAATGGCGAATCTCTCCAGTGAGCCTAGTGGAGAGAAACCTAATCAGTATCATATAACTGGGAAGTCCTTGAGATATCCTGAGCATTTTGGTCAGCATCCCAAGATTCCAACTGGGCAGCAGGATTTTCAATATAGCGGACAATGGGAACGCTTCACCAGGGAGGCAAAATTATTGAAAGAATGTGTTACACATAAGAGGGTTCCTATGGGACAGGCCTGCTGGAAGCATGATGAACCTGGGAAAGCCTGTGAGAAGTCAGCTGTCATTGCTACAGTGGGAAGGAAAACTCTTTATAAAAGCTGTGATCTCACCACACATGAGACACACACAGAGGAGAAATCCTGTGAATGTGGTGAATGTGAGAAAACCTTCATTGTGCAACAGAAGAAACATTCAGAGAAAGAACCCTATTCATACTATCCACATGAGGAGTCCTTCAGCTATAAGCCAGTCATCTCTATGCAGCAGAGTTTTCATAGAAGGGAAAAGCCCTACAAATGTGATGAATGTGGAGAGGCCTTTCACACTAAGTCAGACCTAGTGAGGCATGAGAGTATTCATGCTTGGGGGAAACTGTTTGAGTGTAAGAAATGTGGGAAAACTTTCTGCCGGAAGTCATCCCTTACTACTCATGAGAAAATTCACAGTGGGGAGAAGCCCCATCAATGCACTAAATGTAGAAAAGCCTTTCGCAAGAAGTCACAGCTCCGGAGGCACTGGGGAAGAATTCACACAGAAGAGAAACCTAAAGGATGTAATGAATGTAATGAGTGTGGAAAATTTTTTCACAGAAAGTCTCATCTCATAAAGCATCAGCGTACTCACACAGGCGAGAAGCCCTATGAATGTGGTCAATGTGGAAAATCTTTTGGCCAGAAGATACACCTCACAAAGCATCAGCGTACTCACACAGGCGAGAAACCCTATAAATGTGGTCAGTGTGGAAAATCTTTTGGCCAGAAGATACACCTCACTAAACATGAGACAGTCCACACCATGGAGAAGCCCTACGAATGTAATCAGTGTGGAAAATTCTTTGGCCAAAAGACTTACCTCACTAAACATCAGATGATCCACTCTGGGGAGAAACCCTATGGATGTGATAAGTGTGGGAAATCCTTTGGACAGAAAACTTATCTCACTAACCATCAAATGACACACACGTTGGAGAAACCCTATAAATGTAATGACTGCGGAAAATCCTTTGCCTATAAGTCGTACCTTGCTAAACATCAGATGACACACACTGGGGAGAAACCCTATGGATGTAGCCAGTGTGGAAAAACTTTTCGCCAGACTTCACACCTCAGCAAGCATGAGAGAACTCAACATGGGAGAAAAGCTTCTATGAATGTGGAAACTTGCTCAAATCATACTTCAGCAAATATCAGCGAATTCACATAGTGGAAAAATCTTGCATGGCAGATAATAGCTATGTATCCTTCAAAATCCATTTCCTTTTCTCTGGAACACAGCCTGCATTTCCTAGCCTTGCCTACTGTGGCCTGGACTCTGCCTGGGGAATACAGACATATGTGGTAAGAATTACATCCAAGCCTGTACACAAAGAGAATGACACTGCAGCGTTCTCAGATTTCTCATCTTTTATGACACTAAAGTGCTACTGACCCTCAGGATGGCTTTGAAGTACAGGTGGGAGATGGTCACTGTGATTTAAGACATGAAGAGAACAGATCTTTCCAGCACTGCCTCGGTACCTTGTGTTCTTTACATGAGTGAGAAATAAATATCTACTCTTTTGCTATTTTATGCATGATCTGTTTGCATTGTAGCACCAGTAGCCCACTGTTTCTGATTCATTTTATGAATATGAGATCTTTCTGAGGGAATATAGAAACCTGTTATCTTTCATCTCTAAGTCAGCGTTTTTAAGAATCAATTGAGAAAGGATATAACATATTTGGGATTTTGTATGTCTGGCAGGGATATCTCATGGGACACTGAGAATAATATAACTCTATTATTATAATGAGTCAGAACTTTAAGATTTTACCTTGTTGGACAGGGGATTTAGCTCAGTGGCATAGTGCCTACCTGGCAAGCATGAGGTCCTGAGTTTGATCCCTGGTATCAAAAAAATTTTTTACCTCATTTATGCATCAGATGTATACTCAGTGTAATGGGAACAAATGGGAATTTTGAAGATATATTCAAAATATAAAATATTTGAGTAGCAGTAATAAAATATGAGTGGTGCTATTACCTGCATTTGAGAGTGTGCAGTCATTTTTGGTTATCACATCTGGAGATTGGGAGCTCCTGCTAGTGCCATCTAGTGGGTAGAGATCTGGTACAGCTACACCGCCTGTGAAACACAGCATAGACTCTGAAGTACACAGGGTTTGTGCATAAAGAGTATTATATGTTAGAAATGCTCCTTCATGAGACCAGATGATAAATGCCACTGGCGTAATAAATATGGCTTTGATTGGTGTATTAATCCATTTTCTGTTGCTATGACAAAGCACTTGAGGCCCGGCACTTTATTAAAAGGTTTACTTTGCTTGCAGTTTGGGAGGCTGGCAGTAGAAGATTGGGTGGTTACAGTACTTCAGCCTCCATGCTGTCTTGCTTGGCTGGGTCACATCATATTGGAGACATGGAAAGGAAGCTCACTGTGTGCGGAAGAGGCCACATGTGTGGAGTGGCCCTGCTTTATAATAACCATTTCTGCGACAACTCTGTTTGGTGGTGGTGGGGGGGTTGAACTCAGGTCCTTAATGCTTGCAAGGCAGGCAACAGAACCACTGAGCTAAATCCCCAGCCCCCTCTGCAACAACTCTGTACAAGCATTTGTTCCTTTTGTGGCACTGCCAGTAGTGACCCAATTCCTCCTGCTAGGCTCCACCATGTTCTTTTCTGGTACTGGGGATTGAACCCAGGAGCTCCTATCTCCAGCTAATGTGTGGGCACGTCTGCATGTGACACTACGAAACCAGAGTCTGCACATTAAGCTACATTCTTGGCCCTTTTTCCCTATTATTTTGAGGTATGATGTCACTTATTTGCAATGTATTGCTCAGAATGGGTTTGAACTTGGAATCTTCCTGCATCTGCCTCCCAAATCACTGAGAATACAGGTATGCCCCAGTGGGCCCAGCAAGGCCCTGACTTTTAGCATTTCATTTCACAACCACCCTAAGCTTCAACTCTGTACATGAGCCCTTAGGGACAAACCACAGCCAAAGCATAGCAGTTAGGAATTTCCATGTCCTGGGCCATACTAGCCTCTGTGTCCTGTTTAATGGATTAAGTATACAGTGCCTTACTACATTCATGTTCCTATTCATAGTGTACATAGATCTGTACAATAATAACCAAACTCTTAAGTAAATGTTTTCCTGAAGTCTGCAGCAAACAGTGCCAGATAGTGGTTCTAAAAGAAAGACTCATAGAACTATACAAATCAGGTACATAATTATCAGTTTAAGTCTAGATTAGCTTAAACAGCTCTGATCAGTGGTACTTGCTTCATCCCATTTAGTAAAATGCAATCTCTGCAAGCACAATTTGCCCCTCATTCTTAACTCCTAGTGTTTGCATGGGTACTGGCATAGGTGTGTGTGCTGAGCAGTCTGTATTTTCTGTGACAATGGTGGTCATGCTGTCTAACGGGCCATGTGATACATCCTCACTTCTCCACTTACATGTTTGACTTTTCACCTTAACATCTCTGGGCTTCTGTCTCTTCGTGTTAAAAAAAAAAAAAAGTCATACTAGAACCTACCTTAAGAAGTCATTGTGAGGAGTAAATTAGATAAGTACAATTCTTTGAATATTTCTTGACATCTGATAATTAGCATATAGATTGTACCCATGTGGGGAAGAGTGATTATTGTAATTTACAAAAACACTATTGGCAGCAATCTTTTTTTTTTTTTTTTTTTTTTTTT